TTGGCCGTATACAAAAGTTTTCTTTGATACCGGGCTGAGATTAACCAGCTCGAGGCCGAGACCAGGGAGCTTGCTGAGAAAAGAGACATGTATAAGATTCTCAGCGAGCAGCACAAAGGGGCCGTCAAGAATCTTCGGGACAAGTTAGATGCGGCTCAGAAGGAGCAGACTGATTTATCAGATAGGTAAAGATTTTCAAGGTTAGCGATAATGACTTGGACACGGCGACTAACGATCAAACCTTGCAGGTCCAGCAAAAGATTGACCGGATCGACCAACTCCGGGCTAAAATGAACGAGGTCCAGGCCATGGCCGATGTTTGGAAGGGAAAAATGGACTGGCTGGCTTCGGAGAAGGATACCGCTAGGGAGCAGCTGGCATCGATAGAGGTCCAACTCCGAGTGGAAAAAGAGAAGGGCGAAGCACGGACTCGACAAATTGAGGACCTCCAAACTCAACTGGGCTCGGCATTGCTGAATGAGATGCCTTTGGCAATGAGCTAGAAATAATGAGATCCGAGACGGAAACAACCAGGGCTGATGTTGAAGAGATGGTGGCCCAGTAAAAGGGACGATGTTGAGTCAGCCGAGGCCCGCCTAAAAGTCACAGTTGAGTACGTAAAGTGGTTGTCTCGGAGGGAGACTCTCGAGGAAATCCATGCCTGAGGAGAGGCAAAAGGCTCGAGGTTGAGGCCAAGAAGTTGGCTAAACCCAAGGGTGAAGAAGGATCTAAGGGCTCCTATGAACCCGAAGATGGAGAAGACCCCGACGGCTCTGGTAACGAGGCAGGTTTTTGTGAAGATCGGGCGTAGGTGCCTTAGGAATTTCTTCTTTGTTTTTGTATTTTGTACATTTGTTGAGGCTGTTTTTGTTGTCCTTTGTAAAGACATTTTAGAATGTATATAAAGTCTTTTTTCCCTTTCAATAAATTTTGAGTCACTGTTTTTAGCATCTTTTTGTAATTGCAAAGATTTCAAGTGCTTTAGCACAAAATTAAACGTAGTAATAAGTCATTGTTAGGAGGTTCGGGCAAGACTTGTTCATGATGTAAGTTATATTTGAAACTCGTGGGGGCTCGGTATAACCGGAAGCCTTCCCCAAAGTTCTTGTTTAGATATTTTTGGCTATAATTTTGTCGAGGGTAACATTTGAATTGGTTTGGAATTTTGAAGGCTTTATGTTTTTTATTACGGGCTTCGAACGTCTTTGAGCCATTTTTGGGGTGGCTGTAGCCTTTTAAGATCAGGCACTGCCTAATAGGCTTTGTACCTCCAGGCTTCGATAGCCCGAGTTGTCCGAGCTTGTCTTGGCGACAATCCCAAGTGGGGGTGGCCATAGCCTTTTAAGTTTAGGCACTTCATAATAGGCTTTTATGCCTCCGGGCTTCGATAGCCCTAACCGTCCGAGTTTGTCTTGGATGACAGTCCCCGAGTGGGGTGATCTATTGGATCCGGATAGAGGCGTCCCTTGGGCTTGATATCCTTAAGCAACAAAATGTAATAGTCTTAAGGGACAAAATATATATCTGTAAGGTAGAAACTTTCTTTCATTTATGTGCGTGATATACAAGATTGTAAGTGTGTACAAGCTTCGTGTTTTGACTTAGGTGGTCTATGCAGGAACAGTTCATTTGATCGTTTGTCCCTTACAATCCTATCCACCAAGCCTAGACTGTTCAAGCACAAAGTTTCTTTCCTTGCTAAAAATCGTTACCCGAGGGTGATGGCCCGCAGTTGCCTCGTTAAAAACCTTGCAGAAAATCCATTTGGGATAAAACCGGTTCAAGGGAAAAAGAGTGCATCGCGTGCTTTCAGGCCTAATAACTACATTATCCTTTGGCTGTTTCCTGCAAGTGTTAGTCTATTTCGCAATTTATGTAACAATAAAAAAGAAAAAAAATGATGGGGATGTACCTTAGTAGTAGTATCATTTTAAGTGGGTTACGTTCCAGTTGTTCGGTAGCTGCTCACCGTTCCCTACTTCGAGTTTGTATGAACCTTTACCGATAATCTCGACAATTCAATATGGACCTTCCTAATTTGGTCCCAGCTTCCCTTCGTTCGGGTTTCGGGTGTTCAGTGTCACCTTTCTTAACACCAAGTCCCCGATATTAAAGTGTTATAGGTTGGCTCTCCGATTGTAATACCTTTCAATCCGTTGTTTCTGGATAGCTAACCGGACAAGGGCGGCCTCACTCCTCTCATTCAAAAGTTTGGGGCTCGTGCTCATGGCCTCACCATTTGACTCTTCAGTAGCATATTGGAACTTAAAACTCAGTTCTCCTACCTAGATCAGTATAAGCACTTTGGCACCGTAGACCAACAAAAATGGGGTGACCCGGGTACTCGACTTTGAGGTTGTACGATATGCCTACAAGACTTTGGGCAAAATTTCCTTCCATTTTCTTTTGGATTAGGTCAACCTTTTCTGAAGGTTTTGGTGTATGATATTGTTTGTAGACTCCACCTGCCCGTTCCCACAAGGATACAGGGTGTTGACAGGATCCTTTTGATCTTATGGCCCTCGAAAAATTTGCTTACCTTACTGCCGATGAACTGCTTCCCGTTGTCACATGCGATCTCGGCAAGCATCCCGAACCAACATATTATGTGGTCCCAAATAAAATTAATAACTTCTTTTTCCTTGACTTTCTCAAATGCCTGAGCTTCAACCCATTTAGAAAAATAGTCAGTCATAAATAATATAAATTGAGCCTTACTGGGTGCCCATGGCAGGGAACCGACGATGTTCATTCCCCATTTCATCAATAGCCAAGGCAACAGGAATGAATACAGTAGCTCCCCGGCCTGATGGATCATCCGTGTGTGCCTCTCATAGCCGTCACATTTCCGTACGAATTCCTTCACATCTTTCTCCATGTTGATCCAGTAGTAGCCAGCTCTTATTGTGCTAACCAACGATTCGGCCCTCGAATGGTTCCCGCAAGTTCCTTCTTGAACTTCACTCAAAACATATTCGGTGTCTCCCGATCGCAGACATATGGCGAGTGGGCCGTCGAACATTCTTCTGAACAGGGTGTTATCCTCGGACGGGCTGAATCTGGCCGCCTTCGTGGATAGAGCTCTCGATTCTTTAGGATCCGAGGGCAGCTTCCCTGTCTTCAAGTAATATATATACTTGTTTCTCCAATCCCAGGCTAAGCTTGTCGAGTTCATCTTGGCATGGCCTTCTTCCACTACCGATTTCATGAGTTGGATGACCGTTCCCAAGCTGAATTCATCGTCATCAACCGATGACCCCTTGTTCGCTAGAGCGTCAGCTTCGCTGTTTTGATCCCGGGGTATATATTGCAGGGTCCACTCCTAGAATCGATATAATGTTGCCTATAGTTTATCCAAGTATCTTCGCATTCATTCCTCTTTCACTTCGAACGTCCCGTTGACTTGATTTATCACAATGAGGGAATCACATTTAGCTTCGATCACCTCGGCCCCCAGGCTTTTATCCAGTTCGAGACCTGCACTAATGGCCTCATACTTGGCTTTATTATTGTCACACCTCCTATTTACCACCCCCGAAAGGGTAGAAGAGAGTCTTTTCCAATTTAAGTGACAATCGAAATGAGATTATTTACTTAAACATCAGAGTCTCCACTTGGGATAATTTATGGTGTCCCAAGTCACCGGTTTAAAATCCCGAGTCGAGGAAATTTGACTCTATTTACGGTCTGCGAACACAGAAATCCGGGTAAGGAATTCTGTTAACCCGGGAGAAGGTGTTAGGCATTCCTGAGTTCTGTGGTTCTAGCACGGTCGCTTTGATCATAGTTGGCTTAATCAAATTGTTTAATTACTCATTTTAGAACCTATGTATATTTGCCTTTTTTAATTAAGAAATTATCTTGAAACGGGTCACGCGTACGTGTACCCATTTGTTTGGCGCGTCAAAAAATCATGTCACGCGAACGTGTCCATGATTAATAACGCTTTATTATTATTAAGAAAGTTTGGCCGAAGTTGCACGAACGCATACTCCAGTTTTGTTTTTTAGAAATCGTAATCATGTCACGTGAACGTGTCCATAATCACAATGATATATTAAACGGGCCTAACGCAACTACGAGCATTTGTCATTTTTATATCTAAGTCATAAGATTAATACGAGAGCCATGAATGATTAAATTTGATGGCACACCTCGGACTATATGAACTAAATTAAATTAGTAGCCTATGAAAACCCATTTTATTATTGAGAAGATTTTATCGGAGTTGCGCGAATGCATACCCCGAATTAGTTTTTAGAATCGTAAGTATGTCACGCGAACGTGTCCACAATCACAATTGTATTTTAAATGCGCCTAAGTCTTTCTACGAATATTCGTTCTAATATCTAATTAAAGTATTTGTGAGGGCCATAGGCGATTTAATTAAATGGCACACCTCAATCTATTTGTGGAGGACAATACTTAATTAAAAAGGTCCAAGATGTTGGGTCTACTCTAAATTAAGGTTCAATTTACCCTTATTAGTTGTAAATCCACGCGGGATAAGACTGATTATTTTAATCACTTGAAAGGGTCTTGGGCCAGAGATAGGCCCAATGTCGTTTAAAGCTTTCAGAACAGAACACAAGAGAAGGCTGGGCTCAACATGAAGCCCAACATTGGGTCAAGAATGGCCATACCGTCCTCATGTATTAGAGAAGCCCAAATACAAAATGTAATAAATTAAATCATGTTGGGTACAATATGGCTCAGAATTGGGCACAATGAACGATAGCAACAAAACAAGCATGAAGAGCCCATTTCTCAGCAGGCTGCCCCGTATGGGCCCAGGCTAAGCCCAATCCCCTTAAGAATTTACGGGAAAAAAACACAACACAAGAACTAAAGATGAGCAACAGATTGTGAATCTGATTTAAACCCCAGCTTACAAATAATAGAGAGTTGAACATGGATCCAGAGCTACTCCTTTTATAACATACTAATTCTTGCATCAATCAAGTACTCTAACATTGCTAAAATTAGATGACCAAACTATGCAGTTTTAACAACCAGCTAACATTGCTAAAATTAAATGACTAAACCATGAAGTTTCAATAGCCAATGTTAACATGATATCTAAATTAACAACCTTAAATATGAAAGAAAAATACAAAAATCAACTACTGATCCAACCAAGTGACCAGTTTATGAAACTAAACTAGTTTAGATCCTAATACCTATGAAATTCTTCCTAAACCATTGTTCATTCAACAAATCCCATAATAACCATATAAGCTGAAAGAAAATAAACTAAGAATAGACATAGAAATTCAAGAAAATACATATAGGAGGAACTGATAGTCCTTGATTCATTCATTAACATTTTCATTACAACTACGTATATCAAAATACTTCTGTACTTCAGCAGTCATCACAATCCGAGAAAATACCTGGAAACCAAGAGCAAAGTGAAGAAAACAAAGAAGTTCAGTGAAGCAAAGCAAGCAAAGAAGCAGCAAATGATCAGCTAGCAAACAGCTTCAGCTCAAACCCATATTGAAATCAGAAATCCGTAAAAGAAGAACTTCAGAGTGTGTTTTTTCTTTCAGGAAGGAAAATCAGAAGTGAAAAACCACTCAACTCTCTCACACAATGCAGAAATTTTGTATATTTTCTATCGGTTCCAATGTCTCTCCCAAAAAAATGAAGGGAAAGAGTCCTTAAATAGGCACTTCTAAGGCAGCCCTAGCCTGGTTTTCTAATTCCCCTTCTACCCCTTATTCTTAGTTATTTTACCCTTTTTAACCCTTCAAATATATCTGAAACCTCCCTTCTCTTAACAAACCAGCCCCAACCTTATCCTCTAGAAGCTTCCCCCAACAGAAAAATATTCCCTCAAACCCCAAATACCCAAATTAACCCCTGACACCCCTATAATTACCTTCCTAGCCTAAACCAATGCAGGCCATCTGATTCCCAAACTTGGGCCCAAACGAGCAGGCTTCTAATGTCTAGGTCTGGCTTACCATAAGACGACATCAAACCAGTAAAGAAATGAACAATTAAACCAAAACCAAAAAGAACTTAAATTAACAGTAAACATGAACTTAACCAATTAAAACCCAAAAGTAATGAACTTAAAAATACTGATTAATTTAAGATATAATTGGTTAAAGAAAAAAAAGGAAAAGAGAAGAATAGGGAACCTAATAGAACAGTAAAACTAGACAGATTGGTAACATTTAAACTATCCCAACAGAGATCTAACTTAATCAAAGAAACAAAAAAGAAATTAACCTACTGACTTGAACAAACACATAGCAGAAACAAATAATCAAGCAAATGGTCGAAATGAAGCCAGAGTCAGGAGGCAAATATAGCAAAGGTAAAGAGGAAATGATGAGATATGGGCTAACCGGAAAGTGGCTTGGTAATGGAATCCAAGCAATGGCCCAGAAGGCGGAGAAGCAGTGATTGACCAACGTAGCTGGCTCTCAAAATCGAACCAAAACTCGTGTTAATCAAGGGCTCCGGATGAGAACTCTTGGTTAACACTAGTCTTGAGCCATATTGAACTTCGAAAGGTGAAGAAACAGTCTCAGCAGAAACTAGGGTTTTGTTTTTCAATTTTCAGATCCAAAATTGGGGGTGCTTGAAAGTGTTTTGGGGAATTTTGGTGATGGATTTGGGCGATGAGGGGACAGGGTCGCCTTGCATCAATTTGGGGGTGTTTGAAGGGATTAGGGTTTGGGATCCGATCTTCAATCTAAAATTCAAACGGCTTGATGATGATTTGAAGGAGAAATTTGGGATGAGGAGATAAAGGGGATTCCGGGGTGTTAAATTGGTGGTGTTTGGGATGGTCTGAGACGTCGCCGCCGACGGAGACGGTGGGGAACTTTAGGGCAGCGGCTAGGGTTTTCAGTCTCTGAACTTAGAGATGAGGAATGAGGGGGAAGTGGAATGGGGGATGCCTTGGGTTCAGACAGTTAAATATCAAAGGGAACCTTAATTCCCAACCGTTTGATCAATGGAGATCAACGGCTGGGATTTTAAGGGGGGAAATGACGTCGTTCAACTAACATGGAGGAAATTGGATCGGGTATAGAGCATTGGGCCCGGGTTTGGAGTTCATTTGGGTGGGGAGTTGAGCTCAATTTAAACAACCCCCTTTTTCCTAATTCTCTTCTTCCTTTTTTTTCAATTGTTTTTTTCTTTTCCTTTTTAAATTAATTAAAACCTGAATTAAACTCCTAAAATAATTAATTTGACAAAAATAAGTTGATTATCTAATATAATATTTACCAAAAATTAATTACTCCTAAATTACTAATTTAAAATTAAAAGGCTAAAAATGCAAAAGTAAGCCACTTTTGTGATTTTTATTTTTTAAATAAAACAACTAATTTACTAATTAATCTTAAAAATATAAAAATGAAACATAAATGCAATGCATGGTATTTTTGGTATTTTCATGATTTTAAGAAAAAATAAACATGCACAGAAATGCAAACAACTAGCACAAATTCCCACAAAATTCTATAGAATTGTAAAAAATGGAAAAAATTGTTTTTCTTGAATTTTGTAGTAATTCACATAGGACAAAAATCATATGCTCACAATTGTTAGTCAATTTCACAGTTCTAATAGATTTCCTAATTATGTTACCTGTGGACGGTTTCAACACGATGCCGAGTCCGAACCTCTTTGCGTTCAAAGAACCATCCGTATAGAGGGTCCAGATCCCCGACGAGGTCCTCGAGATTAACAACAATTCCTTTTCGACTTCGGGTATTAAGGCCGGTGTGAAGTCGTCCACGAAGTCTGCCAAAATTTAAGATTTGATGGCGATTCAGGGTCGATATTCAATATCATACCCACTTATTTCTCCGGCCCATTTGGCCAACCATCCTAAGAGCTCGGGTTTGTGCATTATGTTCCTCAATGGGTAAGTAGTCACGACACATATGGGATGGCATTGAAAATATGGCCTTAACTTCCTAGAGGCACTTAGCAAAGTGAGCGCCAATTTCTCCAAGTGAGGATACCTCGTTTCGGCCTCGCCTAGAATCTTGTAAGTAATTGCATACCTTCTTCTTCCTGGACCAAGACTCCACTTACCGCTATCTCAGATACCGCTAAATAGAGGTACAATTGCTCATCTACCTACGGAGTATGAAGTAAAGCGGACTCGAAATGTAGCGTTTGAGTTCTTCCAAAGCTTGTTGGCACTCCGGAGTCCACGAAAAGTTATTCTTCTTCTTCAATAACGAGAACAACCGATGCCTCTTATCGGAGGACCTGGAAATGAACTGACCCAAGGTGGATATGCGCCTAGTTAGTCTTTGAACGTCCTTGACATTGTCCACCATGGTGATGTCTTCTAGGGACTTGATTTTGTCGGAATTGATCTTGATTCCCCGGTTGGACAACATGAATCCAAGTAACATCCCGGACCCGACTCCGAATGTGCATTTCTACAGGTTCAGCTTCATATTGTATTTCTTCAGTATGTTGAAGGTTTCCTGCAAATGTTTCAAATGGTCCTCTGCTCGTAAGGACTTAATTAACATGTTGTCAATGTAAACCTCCAATGAGTTTCCTATTTGCTCTTCGAACATCCAATTTACTGGGCATTGGTAAGTGGCGCCAACATTTTTTAGTTCGTACGACATTACGTTATAACAATAGGTTCTGTATTTAGTTATGAAGGAAGTCTTTTTGGTCACCCGGGTCCATCCGGATCTAATTGTACCCAGAATAAGCATCAAGAAAGCTGAGTATCTCGTGGCCGACCGTCGCATCGATCGCTGGCAAAGGAAAAGATTCTTTAGGGTACGCCTTGTTCAAGTGTTTGTAATCTACACATGTTCTTAATTTATTTCCCTTTTTAGGCACTACCACTACGTTTGCTAACCAATCTGGATATTTAACTTCCTAAATGGAACCTATTTTAAGGAGTTTGGATATCTCGTCTTTGATGAATGCAGGCTTGAATTCGGACTGAGGCCTTCTCTTCTGTTTAATCGGGTGAAACTTCAGATCCAAGCTCAGCTTGTGAGTAGTTATTTCCGGCGGAATCCCTGTCATGTAAAGATGGGACAAAGCGAAACAATCTATGTTAGCTATAAGGAATTCAATAAGTTTTTTCCTGAGCTCGGGAGTTAGCCCCGTGACTTGGTATACATTCCAATCGGGCAGGTGCTCGATCAATCTGACTTGCTTCAGCTCTTCGACCATAGACTTAGTGGCATTGGAATCATCAGGGAATATGAAAGACTTAGGGACTCCGTAATCGCCATCATTGCCTGTCTCCTGCTTTTCTGGTTTAGTCGGTGCCGATGTCGGTGATTGCTATTTGGTTTCTCCCTTGGCAACACAACTCAAGTTCTTTGATGTCGAGAGTGCAGACATCGGGACCACCTCATCGGTCGCGAACATTTCTTTTACGGCCAATTGTTCCCTATAAATTGTTTTGATCCCTCCCGGTGTGGGAAATTTCAATGCCTGATGTAGTATCAAGGGTATTGCCCTCATGTTGTGAATACACGACCTCCCGAATAAAGCATTGTATCTCATATCTCATTCGATTACGCAAAACTTTGTTTTCTGAATAGTTCTGACGGTGTTTATCGGTAGGGTTATTTCCCCTTTAGTGGTGTCGCATGCCATGTTGAATCCATTTAAGACCCGGACTGCAGGCACTATTTGGTCTTGTAGACCTAGCTGTTCCACGACCCTCGATTTGATGATATTGGCCGAGCTACCTGGATCAATTAACACACATTTAACTCGAGATTTACTGATGAGTACAGATAATACCAGTGCATCATTGTGTGGGTGCACGATGCCTTCAGCGTCCTCATCGTTGAAAGATACGGTTCCCTCTGGTACATAATCCTGAACCCGGTTTTCCCTTGTAATGGATACTTTACTGCAGTTTAACATCGTCCCTTGGGGGATGTCAAATCCAACGATGATCATGTTAATGACATGTTGAGATTCCTCTTACTCGATCTGCTTGTTGGCGTCCCTATTCTTGAAGTGACTTTTGGATCGATCATTTATGAATTCTCGAAGGTGTTCGTTGTTGAATAACCAGGCTACTTCTTCTCTCAGTTGTTGGTAGTCTTTGGTTCCATGGTCGTGAACGGCATGATATTTACACATTAGGTTGGGGTCCCTCAAGGCAGGATCAAACTACAATGGTCGAGGCCACTTGGTGTTTTTGATGCATCCGATGGCGGATATGATGTTGGCAGCATCGACATTGAAGTTATACTCCGATAACTTTGGTGCCTCTCTGGCTCCGAGTGGCCTATCGAAATCGTTCTTGCTCATGAGTCCCTGACTATTGTGGCCTCGATCGTTCCTTTTTCCATTCCTTGCAGGATTGCGTCCGGACCCATTAGTTCTTCGATCTCCGTTATAAGGTTGATATCAATCTCTATTCGATCTTGGTTCATAGTCAACGATTCTTTTGGATATATCACTAGTTCTGACGGGATACACGAACCCGGAAGGGGTCCCGAGCTTCGTCTTCAACTCTGATTTTTGATTGGTACTTGTTATGGACGTCGGCCCAAGTTACCGCCGGGTATTCTACCAAGTTTTGTTTCAACTGCTGGGAAGACAATGATCTTTGAGGGTTGAGTCCTTGGGTGAATGCCTGAACGGCCCAATCGTCCGCGACCGGGGGCAGATCCATCCGTTCTATTTGAAACCTTGAAAGGAATTTTCTGAGCATCTCGTTATCTCTTTGCTTTATCTTGAAAAGGTCTGACTCGGTCTCGACCTTGATGGCCCTGGCATGCGCTTTTACAAAGTCATCTGCAACTATAGCAAACGAGTCAATAGAATTAGGGGTAAGTTGTGATACCATATCACAGCTCTCTTTGACAAGGTCTCCCCGAACTTATTCAGCAGAACGGATTCGATCTCATCATCCTCCAAGCCATTCCCATTGATGACGCACGTGTAGAAAGTCACGTGTTCATTTTGATCATTCGTTCCATTATACTTCAGAATTTCAGGCATACGAAACTTCTTCGGAATCGGCTTCGGAGCTACGCTCGGAGGGAAAGGCTTTTGGACAAAATTCTTGGAATCCAAGCCTTTCAGTATCGGGAGTGCTCCTAAGATTTGATCGACCGTGGAGTTATAGGTTTCCACTTTTTTGTCGTTAGCTTCAATTTTCTTTTCAAACGATTATACTCGTTTCGTCAATTCCTCGAGCATCTTTATTATCTCGAGGTTGGTCCTAGGTTCAGCTTCACTCGGACTTTCTATGACTGGTTCATTTCTGCGAGTGTTTTCCTAGGATGGTTCGGGCTTAACTCTGTTGCGGGCCCAACGTTGGTTCTGTAACTCGGCTATCGCTTCCTGTTAAGCCTGTAACATTTTGTAGATCACCCACAAGTTGATCCAATAGCCTTCACTGTCGTGCGTATCCCTGGCTACCGACCTAGCTCCCCCGCGAATGATGTGTTCCGGGTCGGTGGGAAAGTTAGCTTTGATGGCCACATGGGAGTTGGAATCGATTGAGTCTGAGACCAAAGCCCCGTTGGGTCAGCAGGGTGAACCTCGTTGCTGGGCACTATATTGTTGTTCCCGCTGTGGTGGCCAGATTCAGCAACAACATTTAAGTGAGCAATTTGAGAGTTTGACATCCTTAAGTTTTCCTGAAATTAAGATCTCAAATAACAAGAGTAAAGCAGGGTGTGTTATGAAAATTTGTATCAAATTGTCACTATTATCCTTAGCCCCACGGTGAGCGCCAAACTATTTACTCTCAAAGATGGATAATAATTAAATTTATAAGTGATTTTAAGGATATGCAGATTAATTCAATACAAATGATAAATTTGTGTTAGATTAAACAGATAAAGGAAGTGATAAATTGTCAAACCAACTATGGGGAGTGAACCCGGACTCAGTTACAACTTTAATGTAATACATGTTTTCGATCCTGGGCTCGTAATAAAGAAGAACTAATGAAGAAGAGTAAGAATAAGAATAAAATTGCTTTGGTATAAGAATAAAAAAAAATAGAAAAGTTACATTACTGTAATTATATAGTGTAATTACCACAAATTCTCACATTCCCCTTGAGAATTAAATAGTATAATTACATCTTCTTAATAACACTCAATTCCATGCTGACCAAATAATTATTTGGCCAGACAAAAATACCAAATTGTATAATTACACTCAATTACACTCAAATTCAATTCCAATGTGACTTCCAAACATGCTCTTTAAGAATCCAATACAATCCACAAGTAGGCAAAAACAGTAAGATGTCATTGAATCAAGTCATTATGCACAAAACATAGCACATTCAGTTGAGGGTAGGCTAGGAGAAACACATCAAGATTATATAGCCCCTGTTTAAAGCACCGATGACAGGCTACTGAACAAGTTTGACAAGTGCCACCCCACACTTAGGGTCGTTTGGTAGGGCGTATAAGAATAATGCTAAATAAGGTGCATTAGTAATGCATGGATTAGTAATGCATAGATTAATAATGCATGCATTAGTTAGTTATACAGAGATTATTTCTTATGCATTGTTTGATGTGGTGTATTAAAAATTAAAATGCATTGCATAATTTTTATGAAATTTAATTGTTTACAAAAATGTCCTCCATATTCTTTAACTTAAGGGACTTTAAGAATAATTTTGTCTTTAACCATGCTAATGCATGCATTAATAGCCTTTGTATAACTAATGTCATGGTTTTCTATGCATTAACTATACATAGTATAATACCAAATAGAGTGAATAACTAATGCTTGTATTAGTTATACATAGGTTGAAAAAGTGTACCAAACAAAGCATTACTAATACACAAAGATAATGCATGCATTATTTTCTCCACCAAACGACCTCTTAGTGCCTTAATACAATACAACCAGTTTAGGAAAAAAATGTAGGCAAATCAGCACCAAGAATTATAGAAGCAGTCATGAACTAGTGAACGACTTAATAATTTAGCACCAGTAGTAACAAGGTACTCAGATTTCCCTCATTGAAGCTAATCAACCAAGACTTCATACAATTCACCCAAACAATGCAACAAGATCAAGTAAACCAATGGAAGCAGTTCCCTTTATGCAAAAGTTACAATCACTTGTGCTCAAGCAAGGTACTCAGAATTCCTCTATGCATACTACCAAGAAAGCAAACACCCTGTTTGGTTGTCAGTAGTAAATCAGAATACATGTCTCCATGACTTGTTTACATCTAACTTGACAAATTTAACTTTCAGATTATATCCTGTTCATTTCCACGTTGTTCCACCGCTCTTGCAGTAACTATATATTAGGGGTGGCAATTTGAGCCCAAACCCATTTAACCCACCCAACTCGCCCAGAGATTAATGGGTTGGGTTACAAATATTTTAGCTCATGGGTCAATTTGGGCTCCCATTATATTTTATAGTTCATTCTGACCCATTAAGCAGCCCAAATACAACTGATGAAACTCACCCAAAACAAAAAATATCGCAACCCAACTTATATAGAAATTTATTTAGTTACCCCAATTTTACTTTTCTTTTTTTGTATTTTTAATTTTATGTTCTTTTGTTTTT